AGGACAAATAACTTATTATCTTCCTGGAAAATACCAGATTTTCCACCAGTTATAGGAAATAAGTAGAGCCAGTAAGAGCAGCTATGGGAAACTGAAAGAAGTGGTGTCTGGCCACTAAACACAGTCAGGACAGACCCTTGAACATCCTCCCATGTGGTGGCTGTGTAATGCAGTGTCTCCCCAGCCTCATTTGGACCAAATGTCGAGTGTCTGGGGGATTCCCACACCCTYCTAGAATTGTGGTTTTGTTGTTGGTTTTKTTTCTCTGKWCATGGAGGTGCTGTGGGTACCACACAGCTCTGCCATCAGGACCCTCCTGTGGTGCTGCTGGGTCACCAGAACTGCTCTGCCTCACGCAGCGTTCTCAGAAACATTGGAATCTGTCCCCTCAGAGCCACCCAGGTCCTTATTCTGAATATTGCATCTCTTTAATTTATAAGACATAACTCCAGCAGGTGTGGATTTCATGTGGTGAGTTCCTATAGCCTGCATGGAAAGATAATAAATTGTATCAGGTGCCCTGGCTGCAGTGCCCTGAAATTGTTAAAAAATTGAATTATGCTCAATACATAAACTGAGGGCCACACATGGARCATTTGGTTCTAGACTTTTGCCATTAAGAGCAGTAAATGTACAAACAGGGAAACATTATTCTAATGTGGAAAGAACAGTGCATTTAAAAGTGCTTTCTGGATTTTGCTGAAGGGAAGCAACTAAAAAAAAAAAAAAGCAATTGAAAATGAAAAGCATTTATCTCCCTGTCACCTGGATCTTTTTCTAGAACATATTAAGCACTTTGCAAACCTACTAAAATGCACTTTATGATTACATAAAAATCTGTATTGTAAAATATATTTCCAGGTCTTTCTTTTGCTGTTAAAAAAAAAAAAAAGCCAAACATTTTGCTCTGAGTTCATCTGTTGTTCTGGTTTATTTATCATTGTGATGAGCATACTGAGTATGTAGTATAAACACCTAGAGAAGGTAAATGTGTAAATATTTAGAGAGATTCCCTGTCTGCAATCAAGAACTTCAATTGCTGACAGCACAACTACCTTCACAGTAGTTGTGACTTGAAGTGAACTGATAAACCCAGGGATAAAKAGAAGTAGGTGAATTCTGAAGTTAAAACCCAACCTATTTTGAARCCATTGCCCTGATGACTCAAGTGATAAATTTAGCAAACAGGCAATGACCCTGTGTACTTGAATCAGTTTCAGACAGTTTGTGCAAAACCTTTTTAAAATTTTACATTTTCCTACAAACCATTGCATATTTTTGGCTGTAACTTCCCTAAAAATGCACTATGAACTGTTCCCACAGGCTGCTCTTGCATCTGCTCCACAGAAACGGTGCCGCGCTGTTCTCTTACCGCAAGGAAATTGGGGAGCTCCTTTTCCAGGAGAGCCTTCAGTTCTGCTTTGCTGAGGGTTTGCCTGTTGCCATCAGCCCTTGCATACTGGTCAAAGACAGCAATGGTCATTCCCATCGCAGTTTCCAGCTGAGACATGGTGCTGCTGGAGCTTGGCTTTCTCCTGAACAGGCACAGGGTTCTCTTGGAGGATGGAGYCTGCTCTGCTGCTGGGGCTCTTTATGCAGTTGTGCCCTGCATTCCCTGGCTGCACACCCAGGGGACAGTCACCCCTCAGCAAACACCTGTATTTGCAGTTCACACCTCCATGCCAACACCTATTCAAAACTCGAGCTTTATCACCCTGCTGTGACGGGCACAGCCAGCAGCTCACTGGTGRAAACCAGCCTCTCCTTCAAGGTACACAGTGTGACTAACAAACAAAAATCTGATTTTGTTATTGGCTGTTTGCTCAAGATTTGTTCTTTCAGATRTCCCTGTGGGAGCGGAGGGTTGGTGGCCCAGTTTCAGTGCAGTGTCAGCCTGCTCAGGAGGAAGAGGAGCATCTTACCTTTCCCTCTCCACCATAGTTAGGGGCTGTGAGGGGCTGCAGAGACTTGGACTGACCTCTCGGCCACCCAGAGGACCTTATTACGGACCACATGGATCATTAGAACACCCCAGGGATGRGATTCTCTACATCAAAAGTAGAGATCTGCATGCAGAGAGCTAACACAGTTCTCCTGGGCTTGTGCTCAGTCCATAGTGGGTGTCTCACACAGGTTTTATGAACCTGCATCTCTCCAGGGCCAGCAAACTTACAGATCTGCTCCACAAAGAACCTGCTCAGGTAGAGATATCTGAAGCAATAAATTTGATACGTGAGCAAACAGCCAGTATCAAAATCCATCTCCATCTGCAGTAAAATGTTTGTTTTTGCTATTTACTTTATGCAGTACAAATTTTGCARTAAAATGACTAGTACTAAAAGCAAAAGGTCACTCTCAAGTCCTGTGTTCCTCTATGGCCTTTGATGAACTTTGTGGTTTGCTTGTAAACCAAGTCCTCCATTATGAGACACCAAATTGTTCTGAGTTCTGGCCAAGCATAGGRTAACTTGGTCTCTGTCAAACATCAGGTGCCTCCACCAGACGCAGAGGAGCTCATTTGGGGTGAGTAGCATCTACACTAGGGTATGCAGCATGGACACACTGAGCAAATGATTTGGGGGAACCTGTCAAAGCAGGGCATCATGCATGAATAATGCTGATGGACTTCAGGGTGCAGTGTTCTCTGTTAGAAGACCCTGACTGTAAATTCCCAAAACTAAAYCTGATTTGGATGTCTTTGGACATCCTCGAAGATACTTGCAGATAACTTTCCACTCATTACATGCTATAGACAAGTTAGCAAAAATTGGTTTTTGAATTAAGAAAAACCTTAAAAATTAAATCCCTTTCTCTCCTATAGCTACCTGTTCCCCAGGAAAAATCTGTCCTCTAACACCAACAATATTTCAGAGCAAGACTGCACATCCCATGTATGTGGAAATCTAGAACCATTTTGAAAAAAAACCCCATAATTTTCCGTCTCACATTTTCCAACAAGTGATTTTGCATTTGCCAAAAAATCACAGCAGCACCTCAGGCTGTATACTTTATAACAGCTCATCAGAATTATTTGTTCCTGTGACTTCAACCTAGTGATATGGTTGCAACAGATTTGCATTGCAAGGGTAAGAGTTTTAAGTAAAGTTTGGAAGTTTCGCGTTAAAATGCATGTTGAAACATTTTTTCTTCAGAAAAAGGAAGAAGAACAGGGTGAATAATTGGCCCTTATCAGCTACGAACATCTCACAGACACACACACACACACACACACACACAGTGGCAGTCATCGGTGTTCAAGTGCCAGGGTATTTTTTTCATCCTTTTCAGACATGTAACCTGAACATTAAATGTGGCCAGCAAAGAAAAATCAATTCCTCCCTCTAAAGGAAAAAAAAAATTAAAATGTAATGTTTACTTCATTMATTGTCATGACTTTGAATCATGACYATGAGTTTTAGCTATACAGAAGGTAAAAGAAGTGTTCCCAAAAGGGCAGAGAGGGAGATCAGCTTCAGTCAACAGGATATGTCTGCATGTCCACAGCTCTGCCACGTCACCTGGCAGAAAAGATGTTCTCACTCATTTTACACTGCAAACATYGGTGACTCACAATTTTTGAGGGTATGGCTGCAAAAGTGCTAAAGCACAGAATAAACCACAGGGCTTGAACTCTTACAAGCTGAAAGGTCACCGTGGTAGTGTTGTCTGGTTGGGTTTCTTTCTTGTTGATGGGTATTTTATCTGTATTCATACATGTGCAYGCACATCAGTACTGTGCAGGGTTTTGAATTCACACTTTCTGCACTGTTTAAATATTTTCTTATGATTTATTTGTCATCAAAAATAGCAGCTTTGTGCACACAGCACAAACTATTACAGTTGTTTGCAAAACCAAAACAGAGTACAAATAGAAGGCCCACATAGGAGAGCAGGCAGTGTTTTGATGCCAACCCATCTGTCCAGCTCCCCAGTGAGAGAAGTCATTTTCTGTGCTTGTTTGAATTTTGCATTATAATTGTAATGTCAGCAACACTCATTATTTGCTTCTTTCAGGTTTCTTTCTTTGAAGAATGGTATAGGCACAGTTTGGATGATTTACTGGSAGTTTATACAGAATTAGTTCTTGCTGTTCCTAACTTGGACCAGAAGTTTTAATCATATATGTGATACAAATGTGACTGTCACATGCATAATTTTCAAAATCCGTTCAGGTGTACCCAAATTTTGTGGCATTGGTCAGATATTAAGGTTTTCATGAGATTTGTGTCACTCGCTGCTGATATTCCCTTAGAGAATAAGTTTTATTACATGCTCTTTGCAGGAGTGTCTGTTTTGGAAAAGTCTGAATAAATGAATTTATCAATTCTACTGTAAAGGGCCATTTGTGTCAGAGCCAGCTGAACAGGTAAAATGGGATAGCTGAGATGGTAAACTTCTATTAGAGCATTTCATCCCTTACACCTTAGCTTATTCCTAAAGGTGCAGGAAGCCACATGAGAAGGTCTTTTTGACAATTTCTACAAATCTGTTAYGTGTCTAGATGGAAGAAGCACAAGAGGAAGAAAACATATTCTGAAATTATGAACTTGTTATTTTTCTTGTTTCTTGGCAGCAGTATGAAGAGCAATTTGCTTTTCTCTTAGCAAGAGGGTAACATCTGAAYAATAAACAAACATTTCATTTTCCACATTGAGATAAAATTATCAAATCCCCCAAATTTTTCAGGGTTCTGGATAGTCTGTTGAACTTCAAGTATCAACAYACTTTATTTCCTTTGCACTGCTTCTCAAAATTTTCTGTAACTCTGATTAACAGTTTTTAAAGGTCACTTCATTTCCGCAATACACGGTGAATTTTTTTACATCTAGTGAACTAATGATGCAATTACTAAATTGTTTTGCAAAACAAAGTAAAAAAGATCAGASTAAACAGGTGCTGGTGGGGCACAGGCAGAAGGGGAGCTCATGCAAGCACAGTGTGATGTTCAGTGTCACATTGGATAGGTTCTGTTAATTATAGACATACAGGTTTTCATTGTTTTATTATCATTAACTTCTCAAAAAATCCTTAAAATGAATTCTAAAATGCAATTAATAAGCTCACATACCATTTCAGTGAAGTTTAAAAGCAGGTGAAATGGAGTAGACCAGAGTCAGCTAACTGGCTGTGTGATTTCCTGAGAGTTGGAGCAATAACACCATCATCTGGCAAAGCTGTGCCMTGGGAAACACTTCCACTGCTGCAGATAGACTCTAATCAAACATGTTTATTAGTGCACGAGACATACCCACATTAGACTGCAAAATCAATGAATATATTTACAGTCAATAAATTAATATTTGCACGGTAAATACTTCTGTCTAGTTTTCAATCCTTGTTTGAATAATTTCCTGGATACCATTCTTTGCAGGGTTCTTTTATATTTCACTTTTAAGGTTTTTGATACTAAGTCTTCCAAGAAGACCTTTTATTTTCAGTCATAATGACAGAAAAGAGGCCACACCCTAGGTAACTGAATATTGTCCACACAAGTGCTATTATTTCTAAATCTATGATTTCTCACCCAGTCTCACACCAGCAGCCCAAGTGTCATTGGCTTCACTTTAACACTTAGGCAAAGTCTCACTCATGCAAAAACCCACTCAGCTTTCAGCCAACCCTGCTGAGCTGTGGTGAGCATAGAAAAACCTTGGTCTATGGCATGGTCAGAAAGAATAGGAAAAAAGAAAGGAAAAGAGAAAGCAAAAGAGGAACAAAAAGGATAAAGAAAAGAAAAAGAAAAAGGAAAAGGAAATGAAAAAAAAAGGAGAAAATTCAGAAAGAATCAGAAAGAGCTGTGAGGGAGGGTGCTTGTTTTGTAACATTTAAAGCAACTGGTTAAATTCGTTTGTTACAGAGGAGTAAGGACCTGCAAAAGTGAATAAACTAATTTCAAGAAAGCTTTCAAGAGACTTCTATATGCAGGGAGGAATATTTTGACCTGTTAAGCTGTCATGCTTAAGCATGAATTAAGCAATATTCTTTTTCTTTCATTGTACAAAAACTTTTTTGAGAGGAATGAATCATTAAGAGAAAGTTGTCTTGTGTTAAGTGTCCATGCAGAAAACTAGATCAAAGAAACCCTATGCATTCCCCTTGAAAAACCTTTCTTTTCATTTTGAAATWATAATTTATTCACATACTGAGGATATGGATAGGACTGACCTACTATCCCAGAACTGTGTGTGAAGTGAGTTGATATCCATAAACGTCGCCAGGAAGATTTACAAGGCAAATTGATGGAGTGGAAGTTCCCCAGGCGCTCACATTTTACAGAGCTGGCTGCTTTCAGTTTCCTGAAAGCAATACAGTGTAACTGATAAGGAGTGGGGCTTTCTCAGCAGGTTTGTCACTGTTAACTGGGCAGGAAACGCTGGGCTCAGAAACACTGGGGGTGGGGGTGGAAAATGGGAACAAGAGCCTGCTTGTGTGACAGATCATTTAACTCAGATTTCACTTTTCGGAGAAAGAGAAGGTCTTCAAAGAACAGGAAAATAAAAAATGACCTGCACAGAACTGGGAAGAGTCCTTGCCTTGGAGAGGAGAATCCAACCATGACCAGAGTCTCACCTAG